AAATAGTTTCTCAGGCTTTGAAGCCTGGGACAAACTGATGACCAATCTTCCTCTGGCTTTACAGCTGTTACCAACCATTGTGGTAACCGACACTAACTTACACTCCCCAGTTTGGAATCCTGCCCACAGTAATGTATCTGATAAAGCCGCAGATAACTTAATCGAACTAATGAACAAGTGGGACCTTTGACTGAGATCACCAGCAGGAGTACCCACGTACGGACTAGGCTCCACGACGACTAAGGGCACCACTATTGACTTAGTATGGGTCAATGAACAACTAGACAACCTTATCACAGCTTGCCTGGTCAACTCAGATGATGTGACGAACCACCTATCCAACCATCAATCCTTAATCACAACCTTCTCAACAAAAAACCAAGAAACTTTGACAAACGGCAAGAATACGACCAGAGGTAAAAACTGGAACAAAGTTGAACTTGCATCACTAATCATGGAATGAGAACTACCTTACCAAAGGTGGAAAGGCTAACCACACAGGACCAAGTTTACACTTTTGATAGGAAACTACAAAGTGCCATTAGTAATGCATTAGACAACAACTCGCCAGAAAGGGCCCCACCGGGCAAACACAAGACGTGGTGGAGGCCTGAGGTCCTAGACCCCCTCAGAAAAGAGGCCCACCAACTCCATCGACAATTCAAAGCTCACAAGTCGGAGGAAAATAAACTGAACTACAGGAAGGCAAGAAACACCTTCAACAGAGCAGCGGACAAGATGAAGGAAGACAGTTGGAAAACTTACTTATCTACACTGACTCATGAGACACTCTTTCAGGCAAAAAAGTTTGCGTCAGGAAGAAAACCATCATCCCTCGTCAACACATTGATATTGAAATCAGGAGAAATATGCTCAACCAACGCGGAAAAAGCTGAGTTACTTTTTCAAACTACCTGTGTAGCAACAGCGCCGTGCAGGATAGACAAAACTGAAATTCTCCAATTCCCACTAGATAAAGCTGAACGGAAGACAGAAACAATCATGACGGATTTTTTCACGTACCTAACAGAAGAAAACGTCAAATCAGTAATTTCATCTGTCCCGCCGCTGAAAGCACCAGGTGCAGACAAGATACAGAATTGGGTATGGCAAAAAGCTTGGCAGCAAGTTAAAACTCACATCAGATCGTTATTCCTACAGATCACCAAATCAGGCTTAATCCCACAAGACTGGAAACAAGCACGCACCATCATGATACCTAAACCTGGAAAACCGGATTATACGGCAGCTTCAGCGTATAGGCCTATTGCGCTGCTAATCACATTGAGCAAAATCTACAAAAAGTTACTAACAAAGCATTTGTCAGAGCAAGTAGAAAAACGACGTCTACTCAACGAAGGCCACTATGGCGGTAGGCCTAACAAATCAGGACAAGAGGCCTTAACACATCTAGTCTCATCAATGCAGGAACCACTCCACCCTAAATTGCGGGAGCGGAGCGCCTGAAGAGCGCCTTTTTGCGCACTCTGTGCGCCCAAAAATAGAGCGGGGCCTTCGCTCCGCTTACCCGGGCTGGAAATTGCCAGAGCGGGGCAGCCGCTCCGCAATCCGGCCCGGGTGTGCACTCAGCGCTCATTTAGCGGAGCCACAACCCTGTACCCAGGCCCAGGGGCTGGACACTTTAGCTGCCGCCACCACCTCCTCATTCATCGAGTCAATCATACCACGACAACCACATCTCATTCAATCTGGTCTGACCGTCTTCGAAACAATGGACGGTGACCCCTGGAAAGGTCTTCAAATCCGGCTGACCTGTGGTTCCCATGCTTCGATACCCTGGATCAAATTTCTTATTCGGTCAGTGTATCTATCATCTATCCAAAAAACCCTCGATAATAGCCTTACTATCAACATAAGTCCAATCACTTACCTTTATTTTGATCTCCTTCCCGACTATCAACTCCAATGGCTCCCTCCCAAACCAGTTCGAACCAAAGCTCGCTCAAAGTTCCCAGTCAACTCTCTACTAGACAACTCCGTCCACCTAGCCCACGTCGAACCAATCCAGGTTTTATCATACCTCCAAAAGACTCCCGAACAACTCTTGCGGTTCCTGAGGATGACTCTGACGATGGAGGATCAGAAGATACACCAGGCCCTCTTGCTAATCGTTCGGCGTCACCTCGACCCCCCATCAACAAGAATAAGAGGACTACAACCTCAGCATCAGTTCAACCGAAGGCGAAGAAAACCACGCAACGAAAGGTGAGTTCATTTATCTGTACAGCAATTGATCACAAAGTTGACACAAACTCACCAATCATCTGTTTTTGTTTACTTCGCTAGTCTCGTTCTTCAATTAGTAAACAAGCCCGATCACCGTCTGGAAGTGTAACGGCAGGCTCATCAAGTGGCACACCTCGATCATCAAAGAAAGCTAGATCGGACAAGTTGGATGTAAGTTTAACATCTACACTCACATATACCACGTTGAGATGTTAAACTGATGATGTTCTTTCTGTTCTTTCGATAACAAATATATTAGGCCTTTGAGGTGCCAAAAGGCGTGGACCTCGATCAAGACTCTGATGTGGAATTCGCTGGGGAGAACAGTGAACCTGGATATAACACGGTTCGATCAAATCGTGTTGAGGACCTTCTTAAGTACTTTTACCCGCCTAAAGTACGTACCTTCCTTAGACTGAGTTTTATACCATATTCTATGTCTATTGCATTACTGACCATAGAAATTCTTCTGTAGGATCGAAAATACAAATGTCGCTGGTGTCCTAAGTCCTATACTGGTGGTGATAGATCATATTGGGGCCTATGGAGCCATCGAGATGGTGGCGATGGTCGACCTCAATGTGTGACCCGTCACAAAGCGATAGCTGCAGGTGTCATTCTTCCACCGTCATACACTGAAAAGGAACAGGCCGAAAAGAAATTAGCGAAGTCAGGAAATTTGGACTCATACTTATCTGGACCAGCATTTTCAGCCGACCTTTTGAACATGATATTGGTCATGTGGGTGGTTCGGCATGCCTTACCTTGGTATCGATTTGAAGATCCCCTCCTACGTACCGCTTTTAACTGTGTCAATCGAGGTGCAGTAGTCCGGTCGAAAACGTGGGCAGCTCAGCAATCTCTTCATCTGTTTGCTGACTTGCACAACAATGTCATCAATACTCTTAAGGTATGTGAGTTTTCGATTTTCAACACTTCTTCAGTTTACAATATTGACTTCTCTCCGTGTATCAAGCAAAACGAAGTGGCCCTACTGGGTGTGTTTTACTAGCCGAGTATAAACGGGTTATCTCCGAGCTCAAAAAACATCAAGCAGAAGCCTCCAACTTTCCTAGTCTCGACGCCTCAATCAACATCATGATCGAGTGGCTCACCAAGTACCAGGAAGAGGCAGCAGGTACTGAGGCCATAGTCTTGTCAACCATCTTAAACCCTCGCTTTTGAGGAAAGTTCTTCACACTTCACTACCCCGATTACGAATCTTCCGCCCTTTCGGCAATTGAGACTGCTTTCAACACTCAGCTGGAAGAAGCTGAGGTGCGCAAGACAAGCCCTCCACCTGTCAATCATCATGATACTGCCACCGATGAATACGACATCTTTGGAGCTGCCGAAGGGGGTACTCACTGTCAGCATTAAATAGGTTCCCTGGCGGGAAAATGGGTACCCCAGGGGACATCATTTTCCAAATTTCTTTAGCAGACATGTCTTGGAGACATGGACTAGGCCAGATGTTAAATGCAATGAGAAGCGTGAAACCTTAACAAAGGGAGTACTTCATTAAAAGGAGAGTAAACTACTTTGAAAACAGCGTAATTTGAACTACAATATATGCAGCCAAAGTGAAGGTATCTCAGTGAAGGTATCTCAACACCTCCTCAATCTGACTGAGTTCAAAACCTTAACAGAAAGCCTCAAGCCAATACCCCGTACAATTTCCCCTTGTCTACAGTTTGGGGTTACAGAGTGGAGCAGCCTGCGCCACACATTTATAGACATAAGGCAGATATGCACATATAGCAAGTCTAAGTGAGTGGTATACCACATTGGGCTGATGCAATGTGATGTGCCCAACGCGGTTGTTGCACACATCACATTGGCACTGCGAAATCTGTCATTGTCAGCCAGTATTGCAGTGTGTACTGGCTCACACCAATGTCTTGCACCACAGTGGTACAATGCACACTACATTTCCCTGTGATGACATGGGTTCCATTAGCCCGTGTTGCGCATAAAGGATGTTGCACACAATACAATCCAACACAATTCCACAACAGGGACACGTGGATCACAATGGATAAATCAATCTGACATTGGCCCAAGTCTTTTATCAGGGTCACAAAGCAAGCCTCAGATACTCATCTTGAACATGCAGTTCAAAGAATACACGCTCAAGTATCTCTGGACTCTGTGGGGAGCAGGTTTTTTGAGATCCTTCCCAGCCAGACAAATGCATCATGACTGACATATGATATTATACTTCATTAGCTCAAGCCCTAATAGTGTTCCTGCAAGGTCATTTTTTAACCAGTCAATAAATACAAGTAGTGGCAAACCAACCAATATCCTCACACCAAAAATAGTACAGATACAGTATATCTTGCTTGGTATCAAAAAATGAACATCAACTTGATAGTATCTTCATACTTCAAGTACAGGTTGACCTGTGCCTCCAGATGTGACAAGATAACATGGATTATGGATTCATGAAAATTGTATTCGTTTAAGCCCATATCACCAGAGCACATAGCAAGGAATCATTTGCTTTCCAGTTGTGATCTATATAAATTCTCAAGCTTGTTGAGAAAACTACTTTACATTTGCATTTATGACCTCTTTAAGCGTCCTCATCATTTCCAAAACATGATATCTTCTTCAGCACCTCAAACAAGTAGATATAGATGTAGTTTGATTTTCAAAGACAAAAGAGACTTTAAAAGAGACCATAAAAAAGTTGTATTAATGACTATCACACTCGAGTACAATTGTAATCAGACTTACCTACGCTACAGCTAACGGTCGAGGGAAACCATTGCAATGGTTTTGAGATTCAAGAGGAAATGTATCTCGTTTGGTTCGTAGACAATCCACGCACACTGAGCCTTTATCTCGCTAATATGGGTCAGTCGAGCTGTGCTGGAAATCTCTAGGCGTAAATTTACCTGCATGTCAGGTAAGTTTATCTTGGCGAAAGGGTCGGGCTTCTCCGATGGCACTGGTGCAAAGTATCTAACCATGAGCCACGTATCAGACACTGGTGGTCGATTTCCAGTCGGACACCGTTCATGTTTGAATATAGACATGATTTTTCCAAACAAAGTGGCACCATTTGACCGTGAAACCACGTGAACTACGCTGTTCTTCGGATCACGTTCAAAGGTGGTGTAATGTACTCCTTCGTGGCAAATTCCAGTCTCAAACATTGCATGTGACGTAACCGGCGCGAACTCGGCAGCAAGTGTATCAGGTAGATCAGACCATTCATGGGATGCTAGCCAGGTACAGTTTTCTGCATGAAAAGCATTCAGGCGCTTCACGAGTTGATGTGAGATCGTATTGTCAAGAGGCTGGGATTTTGATTGATTGGAAGAATCTGGCTCAAAAGGGACTGGATCAAAAATGTCCTTGAGCTGTTGGACAAGCGGTTTCAAGCTGATCGGGATCTTAGACTCGTCCTCGAGCAAGGCAGCTATATTGCCTGCACGACAAAAGCTCGACAGGAAAGTAATCTCGAGCTCACCTGTCACACAAAAAAGGTCAGCCATTCTGAGAAGGGGAAGTTCAAGGTACAGCAATTACTTACCTAAGTGATTGTTATGACATGCTTTCAAGATTCGACCCATCAATCTTTCAAATGGAAATGGCCACCAAGCTCGGACGGGTCCGAACTTGGCAAGGATGTCGGGAAGATGCAGGGCGATATGGTGGTTGGGAGCGAAAGAAGAGTCTTTGAAGAGCTCGAGAGAGCTGTGTAGATATGTTTGGAGGTGTTCTCGAAGTCTCGAGATCCGCTCGGAGGTCATGCTCCGCTTGAGCGCTAGGTTAGTCAAGCATACCAGGTGACCAAAGTTGTGCAGGAGAGCTGCGTTCGACTGGTCCTCACCAGTCCACTGAGGAATCAAAATGAGAGGCAACTGTACCGTAAATAGAATCCGCAATTCGTCGGCCTTGAGCGTGGCCGAGCCTTTTCGGCCAAGAGTTGGTAATATACGTTGAAGTGAAGATGGGCTCTGGATTCGTCGTATGCGTGAGTTGACAATGTCTAGTACATTTGAATCAAATACTACTGGGTTTCTCAGCGGGTGTTTATAGCTACCGTCCCAGCCGTAGAACATCTGGGCAAGAGGGTCGAAAGAATCATCGCCGGAAGACGTGTCTGATGCTAGAATGGCATCTGCGAGTGGAACCCCGACCTCTTGAGACTTATGTTGATATCTGTCACGATTTAGTATCCTAGTTGTTGATGCAGCTACTAGGTTTCTAAGTTGATTGGTCGTCATTGGTGATGGAGGAGGGTCGTTGTCCACCTCTTCTGACATTGCCCAGAATCTTGTGCAATGCCAAGAGAGGAGGCCGAGTAAGATGTTATGCATCGAGTCGATTACATGATAGTCCGTGACCTTCCAGTAATCCAGCTCGACCATGACTGAGTATCGAACACCCGAATCTTCAAATATCTTCTGGCGCTCTTTTGCAGTTTCAGCATCTCGAGCAGCAAGTGCATGAGCTCGGTGCTCAGCTGAAGTTCTGAGTTTCCATGAGTTAGGATCGATGTTGTCAATCTCGTGTATGGTGATGTGACAAAGGGAACAGAAGCAAGTTGCACTGTGGTGAGCCATTCCGAGGGCACCCCGTAACGCTGGCAGATCTGCTATAAATGGCAAGACAGCCGCGCGTATCAGACGCCCTTCGGGATGGAGGGGAGTGCGAGAGAGCCAAATCCCTTCATGCCACAGGGAATTAAGTTGGGTGATAAGAGGACGCATGACCCAGTTGGTCTGCTCGAGAGACGGTGCTTTGGGACCAGGTGCAATACCAAAGAGATATATGTTCTCGGGTCGGAATCGGACGTCGAATGGTAAAGTCAAGCACACAAGAACAATAAAGGTAATAGTGGCAGATCGTCCACCGGGTTTCTTGCCTAAGGGTTGAATCCCATCCATAAACATTGCAAAGGTAAGATTGCCCGTCTCAGCAGTGTATTGTGTACCATCAGGCCCACAAAACTCCTTCCAGATGAGTGACTGATGGATGTCCTGAACAGATGAATCGACGTCGAAAGGCTTTCGGGATTCTGCGAGGGATTTATCGAGAGCTTCTTCGATGGATGGTCGGCAGATGAAGCGGGCAATCCAGTTGTTCAAGTCTTGAAATGCGAATTTGCGGACGTGTTTCCCATTGGGCAGAAGTAAAGGTTGAGAGCACATTTGGAAAGCACGATCTTCAGGTGAGTCGTCTGGCGTAAAGACAGGGATTGATGACTCGTCGTAGCTTTCTACACCACCCGGAACACGATCCAACATGTGAACACATCTTGGAGGGGTGCTATCGACAGGATATAAAGCGAAGCAAGCCGCACAGCAATTGAAATATACCAGGTTCGGGTCGATTTCCAACCACCTGTGTACCGTTCTGATATCACGTGGGACTTGGCCAAGCGTGAGAGCTGTCGTGTTGGACATAGGTATCCCTAAACAGTTCCCCGCGTGATCACCGTGTGATAAGTCAA